GATTGTGGATGCTGATAATGATAGTGATGATGGCGATAGGTAGATAAGTAACAAAACAGAAATAACCATATGGTCATTACTTTGAGATTTTTCTTTTTTGTTTAAACTAATCGAACGGAAAGCTTTTCAAATGTAGACAGATATTGGTAAAAAAAACAGCTGCGTTATTTTTGTAGGCAGTGCGACAAATCACTAGATGGCTCACAAGGATAAAGTAGATTATCCTGTTCTACAAAATGACGTTATGTATAGAGCATTTCACACCGTCTCTCGACCCCCCCCCACCCTGCAGGCACCGAATAAAGATTCCTTCAGCAAGAGTTAATTTCTAAGTAGTTAGCTTGCCGGGATTTCTTTAGCTTCCGGTTGGATCATGAAGGGATATCATTTTTAGGGAACTAAGGTATATTGGAAAGCTTTTCGGCCTAAATTTCTGGAGTGCTTCATAATTCAGCACTAATGATATTACCGGAGATTGAACCTTGATGTCACGTCACGACCTAATCTGAAATAGATCAAATCCCTAGCACTTAACTAATCTAATGCTCACTAGTGTGTAAAGTAGTGAGGAAATGGGATCTACCAAGTTGGGATTAGGGAGAAAGTAGTCCCTGATGACACTGGCTGGTCGTAGTGCTGTATTTTGCGAATCGACAGAAATTGGATGGCATTGGCTGGCTGTTGGCTTAAATGGTCTACGACCTCACCTTGTAATCTGTTAATGTGAAGAATCACAAACTAGGACGAAACAGTGTTCCACTTTAAATACAACCCATCATTCGACTTGAAACGCTAATTTTGTTATGTCTCCTCTCATTCTGAATTCAATTTATTTGTAGTGAAATATTTTTGTGTCTGGACCTCATGAGTTATAACTCGTCCCCAAAGCATCTAGAAATCCAATTTTTAGATTTTCCTCAAAAAATAACACTACTTACAGAGATTATTGAAAACTAGGGAGCGCTGAACTGCTCTTTTTGTCTTCATCATCCATGACTGTACTAGTAATTGAACCGAAGACCAAGCCTGTTGGTCATTCAGCCACTTTTATGGCTGGAAATTAATGACCATATCCATGTAAATTGGTGAGGTCACTGTTACATCATGAGTCGACAGAGTTAAAATTCACCAGACATTGAATTGTGCCCAAAATAGCTAAATGTTCATTGTCCTTTACCTCGTGGCCTGAAGGTTCAGAGTTCAACTCCTGCTAAGGTCTTATATGTGAGCTGACGAAGGGTCCCAGGATAAGGCAAAACAGTGCATAAGTCTTATAACCTGGAAATCTATTTCTAAACTGATAACTCGTTTGAAGAGATTTCACTTTATTGTTGATGTTATACACACTTGTGGTACACAGAACAGCCATCTTTCTATGTCTATTGAAGAACTCTTAATGAATGCGGAGGTGCGAATTCACAAGCCAGAGAATTGATGAAGTTTAGTCTACGAAACAATCATATTATAATTAGATAGTAGGAACGGAAAGGAAATCGTATTCTTTTTTTTTCTTCTATCCTGTAACTGTGTCGGACATAACTTTTTTTTCCTGTCGAGAAGAAACTAACTGAGGAAAGCAGACAAAATATCACTGTGTGATGTTAACACCTTTCCAGCTTGCATTTACTTATTTCATGTTTTCCGTGTTAATGCGTAGAACAAAGCTAATTAATATATACATATTGATGTGTAATTTCTTTTGAGGATATTTTTATATCTTTACTTTTTTTTATAAATTTGAACATAGTGTCTAAATAATTAAAAGTTTTAAAGATGTTTTCAGTGTTATAAAGCCTAATATAAATGATACGATTCTTTCCAGATGCGTCTTATGTCTGGTTTTTTCAGTACGAGGTAGGAAATTATTTCTCCTACCCAGTGCTTGTCACATGTTTATATTATTAGTGTTGTTTTCTTCAATTCCTAGAAGAATATAGGGCCTCAGCCGGAAGTCCTCATTGCATTTGCTTCTCTGCCCACGTGCTCACGTGGCTCTACGTCTTCCCACCTGCTTACATCTCCTCTTCACATCACCTCCCCCTCCTCCTCCTCCTCCATGTCACCCTTACACTGACGACAAACTAACTCGCCACTTCCCATTCAGTTTCCACTCGAGAGATGACCTGACGTGTGATATGTTGGAAAATGGAGCTGAGTTTCCTGAGTACACCAGATATTTTGTGCGTCAGTGGCACAGAGGTAAGGACTCTCGCTGACAATGCACATGGTCCGGAGTTCGATCCCCTGCCGACTCACACCTGATATCTGTGGTCGGCCTGCACAGTATGGGCTACCAATATCACATTTTGAAAATTTTATACTTGTACCAAAAATACGGTGTAGCATCGAGCCGTTATCAAAAAAAAACAAAATAAAATATATACGTCTATGTTCTCCTTTCGCTAACTAGACTGAGTACTGTTTCTGATGCACGATATAACCAGTGTACTCAGAAGTGAATAGATTGGAATACGTATGTTGATTTGAGCTATAGTGGCAGCCAATCTTTCAAGTGCTAGCGGAATAGTTTCTTTCAAGAAAATAAATACTCGTAGCCTGAAAGTGAAGTATGTGCAACTGACATATTTTGAAAGACTTTTTGAGGAGAACTTCTGCCTAAGTATCACTCTTAAATCTGAGATTCAGAAGCAGAATCTTTTTGAAGATGACTTAGACCTGTTCGGCAGCATTTTTCGTTCTTGACTATGAATTTGTTGTTGTTGTGGTGGTGGTGGTGGTGGAGGAACCATTTTCCATACATTTATTTCCCTTATTGAATTTGAACAAAACAAGAACTACAGTTTTAGCAGAATAAAATGGTACCATCAGTGTTTATTTCGTTGCCTTCTCGTCAGCTGCTTACATGGCAAAAACATTATTAAATATATCTACAACAACAATTTTAACATACTTGCACAGAGTTAAGTTTAAACAAAAATCAATCGATCAATATACGCATACACTAAAATTATATACATATATAAATATGCAGTATGAAACACTATTCCGAAAAATAATAATCATACACAATGGAAACTTTTAGAATTTCGCATTCGAAAGAAACAGAGGTGAAAATATCCAGTTACCAGGGCAAAGAAAGACTGATAACCGCTTCTTTCTGGACGAATAAATCAGGTTTCAGGCGCTTGATGTAAATGGCTTCAGCAAACTTAGGGAGAATTGAGCTCTTTTGCCTACTGATAATTTTGAACGACTTTTCGACGTTCACCTCATGACCTGTGTTGAGAAGACGCCTGGCGATGGCACTTTTTGTTCCCTTTAGACGTAAGCTTTTTGGTACATGTTCAGAATATCGTAGACATGCCCTTCTTTCTGTCCTTCCAATGTAACTGCTGTCACAGATACATGTAAATTTTGTATATACAGTTAGAGGTAACATTTTCCATTAGCTATTCAACAATATCGGTGTCTATAATCCGTAATGTAAGATTAATCTAAGTCTCCCAAATGAAGATGATAGTAAGCCAACTCGGTTTACTAGCGCCGAGAAACCCCCTGACTGTTATGGACTAGAGAATATGGGAGTACGATGGACTAACTAAAAAAAACTTTGAAGATATGAATTTCACAAATGATTTACGTCTCATATCCCGTATACTCGAAGATTTAGAATCTTCTACAAACTTCCTGGAAGAAGAAGGCGAAACAAAGATGGGACTTAAGGTGGCAAGCATAACTGTGATGAAGATATCCAACCAATGACGGCATACAGTAATCGCCTTCTACTAAAAAAATCTGAAGGAATTTGTCTCTTGAATCCAGCTGAATAGTGCCTTATTTATTTTTAAGCCTACTTGGAGTCACAGGCAGCCGCGAGACAGGTGGTCTTCATTTTCGAAATCAGCATGGGGGAAAACTTCGAGTATTTTAACACCAATATAAATTCAGTGCACGCGTCACTCAGACGCATTTCCAGAAGACTTTTATCAGCATCCTCCTTCAGTCGGTACTTGAAATCGTATGGCCGACAAGTGAACCAATCCAGAGCCTATTATCCCATAAATATACAGAGGCAAATGGAAGTTAATTGGAAGTAAATTCAGGATACCTTCATGACAGGCTCTTTCTAAATAAATAGTTCATGGAATATACAAATGTCAGAAGAGAGTGTAGGTTTTTGTAAGATTAATAAGCACTTAGAACATTATGCAACAATGTAGAGAATTATTTTGAATTTAAAAAAATAAAGGCGCCAAATCTGATAATACGAGAAATTGTTCAGTCTGAATACAATAATAGTACCAGTCTACATAATAAAGGATGGATATACAAACTAAATAAACAAAAATAAAAATAAATAGGGCTAAAGCAGGAATAGGGATTGTAACATTGAACCACAGACAGATTAAGAGCATCAAAGAAAATGGTTGAATAAATGTTTCCTGTATATAAAAGTTTTGCTTTTTCTAGTTGGGTGACCAAAGCTTCAGCAATACAGATGAGTCGGATAAATAATAATTTCAGCAGGCTATTTCTAGCCTTAAACATAGCTTTAAAGAAAGGGGTTGTAGAGATAAGGTGACCAGTAATGACCAGATGTTCTTACAGCCCCAATTCCACATCTTTCAAACCATGCAGGATACTTATCTTCCGCCCTCTAGGAGAAAACGCGCATCGAACGACCAATATACCTAGCTCTACAAAATGAAGTAAAACAGAAGAACATTTATGAAGTTCGTCGGCTTCAGGATCTTGTCCTTCAGGTTATTAAATAGTGATCGTCGAGTAGAAAGCAGCATTCTCAAAGATGCTGTAGCTAATTCTCATTTCAGATACTATGAGATCCTGCTTTTTTTCCATCCTAAGAATACTGGCAGCTAAGTGACCTTTGAATCCAAGTTTCATGCGTTAACATTTTCCTGAATACGGGCTTTAAATCACATTCCATACTTTTTAACTGTGTATGGATTTATCTATGAAACATGATGGATTTCTCCTCTTTCCCTAACTCTGTTATTTTTGCTTTTTCCCTTTTTTAGGCAATCTACAGTATGTTAGGTGCAGATGAATCTACTGTCGATCTTAGTCCAGAGGCGCGTACCGATGAAATCTTTGAAAAAATGGATAGTAATGCTGACGGTGTATTAACTAGGGAAGAATTTATGGATGGTTGTATGGCAGATAAACAACTTTATTCTATGCTATTGGCTGATGAACCAGCTGAATAGATACAACAACAACAATAACAAAAAACTGATAATCTGATCTCCCAGATCGAGACATTATTATCATTATCCAGTCTTGTTTTTGCCCTAGTAATCTGTTTACGCTCGCAGGCGTATGTGTCTTCTTATTTGGTGAACAATTCGACAGGCGAACGAGTCAGTACTGACGCATTTTATATATACTATATATATACATATAAACACATTTTATATATACATTACATCTTTAAAATCTTCAAAATATTACACTGCTATGATTATCGGTATTGTTATTATTACTAATGTCACTCAATTAGGAGGTATCTCAATGATATTGTAAAGAGAAAATACATTGGTCAATACAATACAACACAACCAACCAACTAACCAGTCCACCAACTTATAAACCATATACTGCCTACTCTTAATCAATCCCTTTCCATTTATTACGATGTAAACGTATACAGTGTGAATAAACGCCGATATCGTCGGCGATATGTGAAAATATTCACATTTTGAAGGTACAGAGAGAGAAACAGTGAGTTGGTTAATAATATGTGAAATATATCCTACAGATCTGTTTTATTAAGCTTTTCTATCATCTACTACTAATGTTATAAACAAAAAGAGATCAGTAGGATTCTGATAAATCAGCTGCCAACATCCTCTATTTATGCATATTTTTCTTTCAGTCATAATTTTTTTGCACATAAACTATATTATGATTAGTTGTAATATTACGCGCGAAGTGTACTACTTATTGGATTATTAAGTAATATATGATGACTATTATTAATATTATTATTACTATTATCGTTTCACTCTATTGCATTTTAATAACTGTTATCATTATCATTATTATTTGCATCCTTCTTTTCACTTTCTTCAATCACTATCTATGCTACTTAGTAATCACTAATCTTATGTAACCCTTCAGCTTTTCTAAGACTCTATTACGTAACTGCATCCTTTGGAAATGTTGACAACCATTCTTCTTTCTCCACTTGTCTTGCTCATTATTATTATTATTATTGTTTTTATTATTATTATTACTACTATTATTGATGCGCTCACTGTGTCTACTTAGGGGGGATATATACTACTTTAACGGAAATCAAACGTCCAATGTAATTACCACAATTTAGGGAGGTTATTCAAGCGTATTCAGTCATTTGTTTTTAGGCCACAGATACTACTATCAAGTAAGAGAAATAAGTAATCTGAGTAAAATCTGAGTCGTTATTCTTTTTTCTCCTTTTCTTTTTTGATGCAGTAATATCGCTTTAAAATATGTCAAACCATATGTTTCATTTACTGAATTTCTTCTTGTTGAAATCAAGCCATTTGCCACACCACCGCCACTAACAAACAATAAAATCAAAGAATTATAGCGCACTTTTATTCGAACACTATTCACTGTTTACCCATTCAATGAGTCATCCTGTTTACTTTATTTTGTTTGTTTTTGTTTTCCACTATCGCCTTTATTTTACCCCTCCCCCCTCCAAAATGTTTGAGTGTTTCTCTACTCTCCATTTAAAGGGAGAGAATTGTGCGTTTGTTTATCTGGCTAGCCGGCCTGACGGGTGTAACAACAAAGCTCATTATTCAGCATCTTAATATATTTTCTCCTGAAGAGTTGAATACTGACTGCTAGGTGGGGGGCGGGGGCGGGGGGTTAATAAAAAACCTACTATTACCTGCATTATATTTTACTTTAATTAAGGCTTGCGGATGATATTCAAAGGAATCGATGGCTTCTTTCACTTCTGTTTTACGTCATCAGCTGCTTACTTACTTACTAACTTACTAACTTCATTACCTACACAGATATTGATGTGTAAAAAAAAGTGCTAAGCTCTCTCTTTATCTATCGATCTCTCTGTCACTCTAAACTTCACTTTTTATTGTCAACAGTTGAAAGCAGTTGTCTGCTTCAATAATCTCACCGGATGGGTGTGTGTTTTCTTTCAGTTTGTTTGCCTAACTTATGCTTTCATTATTGAGCTGTGAATTTTGGTTTTATTTATTTGTTTTTTTTTGGTTTTCACTGGTTAAAATGACTTTGCCACTCTTCTACTACTGGGTGTTGGCTACTTTTTTCACTTTACTAACCTTATTCTTGTTCTTGTTCATGTTCTTCTCCGCTTGCTTTCTGTTCTGTTCGGTTGAATAAACGTGTATGTATGTTTGTGTGTCATTTTGGAAGTGTCTCATCTCTGCGCTCTTACATAAACTGTTATGTTGACTGTATTCCCTAAAGGTTGGAATACATATTATATATATATATTCATCACTTGATGTATAATGTATGTGCCATCAAATAAGAAGATGATGAACACATTTCACTGTGGTTATTATTGTTCCTAGTTATTCCTAATATTGTACACCCTATATATTTCTTTATTCTTTCCTTTCTTTATTTTTTCTTCTTCTACAGTTCAGTTAATATGATGTGTAGAGAGAAAATTTTGACTATATATGTTGAAAAAAAAGAGATGGAAAAATGTTTTTAAGATAAAATGAACAGCTTTTCCCTTCTTCATATATATATACATATATATAATGTTATTATTATTCCCTTGGGTTCCTAGTGGAACATAAGGCTTCAAAAACACTTCTCCACTTTTTTGTATTTTCTGATGTTGTCTTTAGATGGGCCGAGGATTGTCCATCATCTCTCATCTCCTCCACCCTCCACCCCCGCCAACACACACCATTTCCTCTATGTCACCCTCAAAATGGCTAATCACACATCATTTTCCATTGAGATTCCACTCGAGAGATGGCCTGCATTGTGCGCGAGGTGTTATTTAAGGGGCCTCTTCAATATATATATATATATATACCCGATCCATCCATCTCCCCTTTCTCTTACATATTTATTGAGCAGTCGGTTCTCACACCTTTGGTTTGTTCTACTGCAGAGTTTGGCCTACCGGTTGACCATTTGATTTTCAGTGTGGAGTGAGTGAATTGGGCAACTGTTGATGAAAGTATGTAACTTGTTGGAGGTGCTTTACTTGACCCCTAAGAACTTATATATATATATATATATATATATATATATATATATATATATATATTTATAAGGTGATTGTGGAGACTTCTACTATATTGGTAAAGCCATTCAGCTATTCCTTCTAAGCAGTGGGGTCTGTGTAGTGAATGATACTGTAAACTGTTGTGAGGTTGCTACATCCTGAATCCTAGTTGCACAGACCATGAGAATTTCGACAGCAGACAATTTTTTGACAGTCACAGACGCATAGATTTTGTGTCATTCTGCTGGTATTCACTATAATACCTAGAAAAGAGTTTATGTTCTCACATTATTGATTTACAATCCATACAGTTTGACGAGATGGAATTTCATCCAAATTTTGTTTAGAAATTAAAATATATATTTGATTTGCTTGATATCATAGTCCGAATCATTTTTCTTTTGATTACAGCTTGATATGATAGAGACGATTTGTAGCTCAGGTGGATGATTTTGATGTGGCTGTGTTCTCTGAGCCGGATAGTTGATTTGCGAAATTTTCATCACCCTACTAGGTGACACCTTCAGCGCATACTACAATTTGAAGTGAGCTTTTGGATTTCTCCACGAGTTTATTAATCATCTCTCCTGGTGATCTTGGACGTGATTGGTTGTTCGTGTGTGTTTTCACACCTTCTAGGTTATTTGCATTGGAACAGGTTGTTTCTTTAACTTGAACTTTGACCCTTTGTGTGTGAAGTTTCTTTCTTATTGGTTGATAACTTTTGTCTATCTCTATGTGTCTATTGATTGATGATTCACTGGAATGCCAAGCTGGCTTCTAAAAATTCTCTAGCATTCTTGTTGTTTCCTCTGTCTAATATTTGAACGTTGCTTGTCCCAGTCGAATTGATGTCCGTGGTTATCTGTATGTAGTGCAATGAGGGAGTGGATATCATGTCTTTTGACGGCTAGCTTATGATCGTGGATACGAAAACGAAGGGGACGTTCACTTTGGCCAATGTAGTGTTTTTCGCAGTTGTTACAATTCATTTTGTAGATGATGTTCATATGCACAAACATAAGCTAGCCGTCAAAAGACATGATATCCACTCCCTCATTGCACTACATACAGATAACCACGGACATCAATTCGACTGGGACAAGCAACGTTCAAATATTAGACAGAGGAAACAACAAGAATGCTAGAGAATTTTTAGAAGCCAGCTTGGCATTCCAGTGAATCATCAATCAATAGACACATAGAGATAGACAAAAGTTATCAACCAATAAGAAAGAAACTTCACACACAAAGGGTCAAAGTTCAAGTTAAAGAAACAACCTGTTCCAATGCAAATAACCTAGAAGGTGTGAAAACACACACAAACAACCAATCACGTCCAATATCACCAGGAGAGATGATTAATAAACTCGTGGAGAGATCCAAGAGCTCACTTCAAATTGAAGTATGCGCTGAAGGTGTCACCTAGTAGGGTGATGAAAATTTCGCAAATCAACTATCCGGCTCAGAGAACACGACCACATCAAAAAGATTACAGCTTGATTCCACGCAGTATTTTTTGGTACAGGTATGGAATTTTCAGCATGTGATATCGGTAGCCCAAATCTTGCTGGCCGACTATAGATATCAGATGTGCGTCGGCAGGGCGTCGAACCGTGGACCATGTGCATGGTCGGCGAGAGTCCTAACCACTGTGCCACTGACGCATATACTACTGATTGAATTATAAAAGTGGTTGAGTACCTATCATATCATCCAGTTATCTCAAGCAGATAATCGAGATTGAGGTGGTTTGAACTGGTTTAACTCTCTGATCTAAGTCGAACCGGATACATCCCTGATGCGTTCAGCCCTAAGTGGGTGAAACTACCCTCTCGATGTTTAGATCGCTTCAATGACCTGGCTAGCAAGCACTACTGATTGATATGAGTAGTATTCAACATCTCATCGCCAACAATCAGTAGTATACGAGAGGTGGTTAAGTCATATATACACAATATGAGATGTAAGGTGATGGCC